GCTTTCTGCCACACCTTCCTGGTTGACAAGCCACATGGAACCATGCTGATGGCAGTTAAAGCCCCGGAGATGTATCCGCTGCCATTGGATCCACGGGACTTTCCACCCACCAACCGGTGATCTTCCTGCATTTGGCACCATTGCATTTGCTGTGCGAGTCTGAAGAGGAATTCATGGGCTGATATCGGACATATGGGCTAATAGTGAACTTATGGAATTCGTCTGGACTGAGCTGGGATGTTTTATTGATGCATAATTACTTCTTGAGGTAAAGTTCTCTCTTACACATATATGAGTGTCAATGAAGTTGTTTCTCTTTTTTATTTTATTTTATTTTGAAGTTCTTTCTCTATTCAACCTGGCCTGACACAGATATCTAAAATTTTAACTATGATGATAAAAACACCAAATTATTTTAAACCATTTACCCTGCTGTGCTCCTTTATTGGAGAAAGAAATGTCACTGTCCTGGAAAGTTAGTGCTAGAGTAGGCTCAGAGCTGCCTGCCTGTCATTATGCCAAGTGAATCGGGCGGTGTTTAAGAAATGACACAGTTAGTAGGAGTCAGAGTTCAGATGGAGACCTGGTTCTTGTGTCCTGCCTTGATATTGTCTTCCTGCCTCCTGAAAGACTAGAAAACACAAGGCCTCTGGCTGTGACGTGGGACATTGACATACGTGGGATTATCCATGTTGGTGTCCCGTTCCTTATTGTTCTTAGGTGCACAGGAGCAGCTGTGTGGGGACCTACAGTTATGTTGTTAAAGAACACTCACCCACGACCCCTCTAATTATAGCTCTTGTGCTATGTTCAAGATAAAGAGATGGGAATAAAACAACTTCTCTTGGTTTGTACAAAATTTTAGTCTCTGAGAATAGTTTTTTCCCCTTTAAACTGTTTCATTGGTATATAATTCACTAACTATGCAGTTCGATAGTTCAATCATCCTAAGAGTTGTACACCCAACTTTAGAGAACATTTTCTTTGTTGCTGTACTCATTATTATTACCTCCCCATTTCCTCCCAATCGCCCCAGTCATGCCCCCAATGAACCATTAATGCAGTTACTTCTCTATAGACTTACTTGTCCTGAATTTCATATACCAAAAAACATTTTAAAAAGAAAACAATGAAGAAACAAAACCAATAACAGAGTAAAACGGAAAACTCTCAGTTGAAAAGAAAGCAGAAAGTGTTAGAAACTGGAACAAACAAATGGGTTAAAAGGGAGATTAATTTTTTTTAGGGGAGATTAAATTAAAAGGTGTTAAATATTAACTGCGTCTGCCATAATCCACTTTCTAAGGCATTCTGCATGATAGCAAGGGAATTCACATCCCTGGTCAGAGGGGATTCACCAGACGCCTAATCCACGTGTAGCTCCTCTTCACGGTCAAAAACAGCCGAAGCGGCTGTAAAATGGGTCATCACTGAGATCGGAAGTTACAAGATTACATTTTAACCTAACCATGTCTTCCAGAACTGACTTTACAATGCTCCCTGTGTGATAACAAGGCTGTTCACATCCCTCAACTACGTACATAGGGGATTCGCCTGAGGCTTCCTCCATGTGTGGACCCTGCAGATCAATTTTGGGCTTCTACTGTCAGCCATAGCCTTCTGCAAACCAGGTGTTCACAATTTAAGGTCTGACCCCATTCTCTCCTTCGGATTTGGGTCTATTGTTTGCAGTCTCGGATCACACAGGCTGGTGTGCTTCTTCATGTGGCCTTAGTTGATGCCTCACTTCGATGGCTGCTTGTGTGAAGACAAACCTTTAAGACCCCAGTCACTATTCTTTCTGATGGCTGCACGCTGTCTAGTTTTTATAACCACACTTTGTTAGAGCACCCATATCTTCAGTGATTTCGCGAGGGCGAGGATCAAGCAGGGTCATGTCTAAGAACTAATTGTTCTTAGACGGGCTACAATCAAGTGTGATCACCAAATCCATCTGAGAATAGTTTTTTATGTTTGTATTTTATGAGCCTCGGACTTTGAATTTGTGGTGAGCTGCTTCAAATCCAAAAATACCAACCATGAAATATGAAGGAGAATTGGAGCGGGCAGGTGCTCAGGGCAGTGAGGCTGAGAGGAAGAGGGCTGTGTGGTGACAACATCACTGGCCCTCTCTGGAAGGCAGGCCCCTCGTCCAGGGTGCGTGCACAGTTCCACACGGTTCGTGTGGTGTGGCTGTGGCTCACTGTCTCACACAGCGCTATGTTTGGTAGTGTAGAACATTATCACAGCAAACTAACAAGGGGAGGATCCCATGGTGAAACTAGGATCTAGGGACAGAGTAGTTAACATAACGGTCCTGAGACTGCTGTCTTTCAAAGGGCTACTTACAAGCTTGCCCTTTTCTGGCGTCAGGAAACTTGGATTTTGTCAAGGTTCCCACCATTATCAAAACGAGGAAGAGTAGTTCATTGTGCCCAAACTATTTGTGCAAGCAAGGTGCTTTATGCTACACACCTTCTTTCTATCGGGAGTCTGGAATTAAACGGTATGCGTTAGACCATGGGTGCCAAACTTAGGTGGCTTACCACCCCTTTTCAGAATAAAAATTTCTTAGCACTCACATAGCACTTAAAAACGTTTGAGCGCATAAGCCAAGATAAAGTGTAGGTGTCTGTGTTTGCAGCCACTCTGGCTCCTTCACCACCCGCTGTGGGCAATCGCCATCACCACCGCTGGGAGCACTGCACTAGACAGAGGGTGCGTCTGTGGCCTCAGTCAAACCAGGGGCACTCGGTCTCCAGCGAGCGTTCCTTGAACAGCATTGACACGTGCTCTAAAATGCTCGTTGCTGAAGAATCGAGTGTCTTCTCCGTGACTTCTGGGAGGTCACCTCCCTTGTGCACCCTGTTTTGTTTTTCGTGATTGGGCTTCGTACGGTGGCTGCTGTTAAACATGCCTGTGAATATGACTGTAAACTGGGTCTCGGTGAATTCTCCTAACAAATGATCAAACTTGGAGATGATCTCAGAGACCCCCAAAGGAAGCTAATGCCACCGATGGAGCAAAGGCTTCAGTTTCATTTTCAGACTTCTGGTCATGTGCTCGCGCCCCCCCCCCCCCTTTGTTTAAATGTTAATATAGGAGCTACAGAAGAGTTTGGGAATGCCGGTTTCATTTTATGTTATCTAGTGCCCTTCCTAAAAATTCTGCACAAAAAAAGAAGATAATCGGAGGGCAGTGCATCCACATCCTTACAGCGATTCTTGTCACATTCTAGACCCACGAGTTAGAGAATTAAAAACTTTAAAGTCTGGTTAAACAGGCTGCAACTTCTGATGTATTTATTTAAAAAGAAAGATAGTATAGTAACCCAGGGCCTGCACTCTTTGGACTGGAGCCTCTGGGTGCTTCCTTTCTTTGGTTGGGTCTGTACCCAAGCAGGAGTCCTAGTGAGTCAGAGACTGAGTGCTTGGCTGTATACAATTTGGCAGTTTGAATCCATTCCATTGCCTCCGAGAAGAAATACCGGATAATCAGCTCCTGTAAAGTCCAGCCCAGAAGTCCATATGGAGCAGTCCTCCTGTTTTACATAAGGCCTCTCGTCTTCACCCCACTCCCACTCCCTGCC